GCGAAATTAGAATTTGAGCTGACTTACTCTAACCTCTTAAATATGCTAAACAAAGACAATTTGGTCACTATTTTTAGCATTGCGTACTGTGTAGGCCTCATTCTCCTTACACCCCTTTTTACTTGTGTTTCTGCTAGAGATAAAAAAAAACTTATCGACAACTTGATTTTGATTTCTATAAGCAACGAAAACTAATGTCACCAGAACCTCCTGTAGAGGAGGCCTGTAGTAAAAGAAGGCGTTGGGATTGTTCAACTCTACGCGTTGTTGCTCGTGAATCGTACGTTAGAAAACAGTTAACGGTACTGGCTTGCAAATAATTGCATCTGTTTTTATGTAAATGTAGCGACAAATTCAGCAGCAAAAATTATTCTCTGTAGCATAAGACAGACGTAAAATATTTAATTAAAACCTAAATTGGAGTATTAACATCATTACAGATAATAAGTCAAATAATAATCTATACATATATAAATTACGTGTCACGTTGTTTGTCAGCGATGGCCTCTAAACTACTTATCCGATTTTAATCAAATTTGCACACCGTGTGTAGTTTGGTCCAACTTGAGAGATAGGATAGTTTTTTGCCCATGAGTGACCCACATTTTTTGGCGACTTTAAGGATTTTTAATAGAACATGACAAAGGGTCGTTGAAAAGGGCAGAACAACGTCTGCCTGGCAAGCCAGTAATCTATATATTAATATAAATAAAGTTAAAGTGTATATCTGTTATATCGAAATAACTTCCTTTTATCGAGTTCAGTGTTTTATTTCCATTAAGACTTGAATAACCATTTGTATCTCTCTGTCTGTCTGTTTGAGTATAGAGAGTGAATATTTTATGCGATGATTATGAAAATTTTGAGAATTATTCTTGTGAAAGTAAACATTAATTATTACTTCACAAATCTAAATAAATCCACATTAATAGATTCCACCCAGGTGAATCAGGGGCTTGTCGCTTGTATTCACATTAAAGCCTGAGCTCTTCAAGTTAAAATATTTTGAGCCTTTTAACATTTAGAGAGGTCATCTGCTTGTAACCCCAGTCAAAGGGACTGGTTATTTCATTATAGTGATTTCAGTATTATCTTTATGTATATCAAGGATAGTCAAACTTTTATAATTAGGGGCAGAAAAACGTCAAAAGTTTTACGTAGGTCAGAATTACAACAAAAAATACGAGTAATAAAAACTTTTAATTTAAGCTATCGATATTAAAATTAAAAACTTAATTTACTTAAAGTTGCAGTCTATATACGTCTCACAGCTGGGCAAAGGCCTCCTCTCATTTCTGAGAGGGTTTTAGGGTAAGGAAGTATCCTCCGCTCTGCCCCTAACGCGTGTTGGCGAACTACACATGTCTTTGCAAATTTTTCTTTCTTATTCTCAGACATGCAGTTTTCCTTACGATGTTTTCCTTCACCACCGAGCACGTGGTAAATCACCACTTAAAATTACAATTAACAATTTCGTTGGTGTTGGTGGGGATCGAATCCGGGTTGCTCGCGTACTGTGAGATTTACAGCGAGCGCTAACCATCTGAGCTACCACGGCTCACTTTACTTATTGAAATCTAATTTAACTTTAATCACACGAATCAACTTTATACTACGCAACTACTGTTGCACTTTTACCAAACTATTTTTTTTTTACAATATTTAGTATGGCTGAAGTTAACATAATACATTTGCAAGCAGGGACGGCCCTAGCAAAATTGCAATATAGTACGAGATCTCGTCTGTAGAAGCTGTAAGATAACATACATTTTTGACATCCTACTAATAAGATAAATGTGAAAAGTTTGTTTGCTAGAATGATTGTTACTGTATACTCATTTTCTGCAATCGATGTTAAACGTGATCACAAGCTGATTTACGCAGTCTTTGAAACTCCTGCGTTTCAAGGAATGTGTGAAGGTCTCAACAATGTTCGCCTGAGCAAACGGTCAACATTTGTCCGATGGACGTGTCCTAGCCATCGTAACAGCCTCTTCTTGAGTATGTTGGATATGCTGAGAAGCTACGCAGTCTCAAGTACCTATTCGTTACAAAATTTGACCGAGATTCAGAGACATGCTTAAGTTTAAATTCATATAACACAATGTTAATATTTGTGTAACACGGTTATGGGATGATATGGAATTGTGAACATTTTTACGCAACCAGGTCACGACATTGCTCTAGCTATGCTGCACAAAATTCTAAACACATATAATTGTATCTTATCGTAATATCAATACTTATATAAGCTTTTAAGCGTTCAGTTCTACGGTTCTTTTCGTCACCATTGGTTGAAATTTAAACAGTATTTCGATGGTCTAGATTCTAATTTTGGCATTGTGGAGCTTGAGTTTAAACACAAGATTATGTCTGTATACTAGCCTATGTCTCGCCAAGTGAGCTTAGGATTTGAAGACACGTATGTGGAAAGATTTAAATTATACGCATCAGCGTCCCGGGATGTAAACACCAGCGCTCTAAAAAAGAAGTATAATTCCGCTTCTAGGTCCTTCAAAAGAGTCATTGCCAAGGCTAAGTCAGAGCACATAGGCAGAATTGGCGAGAAACTAGTCCGCCTTCCTTCTGGAACCCGTGCATTCTGGTCTATCGCCAAGGCTGTCCAGGGGAATTTCTGTCAGCCATCTTTTCAGCACAGGGAGGACGACTCAATGGCCCATACCGCAAAGGAGAAAGCCGATCTTCTAGGCTCTTTCTTTGCGTCCAACTCGACTCTCGATGACGGGGGAAGTACGCCGCCGACCATACCGCGGTGTGAGTGCTCCATGCCGGAAGTGCAGTTCACACAGCGCTCGGTTCGCAAAGCACTCCTCTCCCTGGACATCCACAAGTCGAGTGGGCCTGATGGAATCCCCCCAGTTGTGCTGAGGACGTGTGCTCCAGAGTTGGCATCGGTTTTAACGCGTCTTTTCCGATACTCCTGCTCCCTAGGCGTAGTCCCAAAATCATGGATGACGGCTTTCGTCCACCCGATCCCTAAAAAAGACGACCGCTCAGACCCGTCCAACTACCGGCCTATCGCCATCACCTCCTTGTTCTCCAAAACAATGGAGTCCATTGTAAACTGCCAGCTCATGAGGTACCTTGAGGATCACCAGCTGATTAGTGGCCGCCAATACGGTTTTCGCCGTGGTCGGTCAGCTGGTGATCTTCTGGTCTACCTAACTCACAGATGGGCGGAGGCAATAGAGTCCAAGGGGGAGGCATTGGCCGTTAGTTTGGACATTGCGAAGGCCTTCGATCGGGTTTGGCACAAAGCGCTTCTTTCGAAGCTCCCTTCCTATGGGCTTTCCGAGAAATTGTGCGATTGGATCACCAGCTTTTTCGCAGATCGGGGCATCAAGGTCGTTGTAGACGGTGCAAGCTCCGATTGCAAGCCTATTAATGCTGGTGTTCCACAAGGCTGCGTGCTATCGCCAGCGCTGTTTCTTCTGCATATCAGTGATATGTTGCAAACCCGTAACATTCATTGCTATGCAGATGACAGCACTGGTGATGCTCTTTACACCGGCCGAGCCAATATTTCTCGGGAAAACGTCTCCGAGTGCCGGGACAAACTTGTGTCTGAAGTCGAGTCTTTGCTGAACAGAGTCTCGGATTGGGGGCGACTAAATCTAGTCCAATTTAACCCCCAGAAGACACAAGTTTGCGCGTTAACCGCTAAAAGAACCCCTTTTTTCCTAGTTTCAAGGCACTCCCCTTGTTGCCTTAGCTAGTATCGGAATCCTCGGCGTCGACATATCGAGTGACGTGCAGTTTCGTGGTCACTTGGAAGAGAAGGCCAAATTGGCCACTAAAAAGCTTGGCGTGCTCAGCAGAGCGGGACAGTATTTCATGCCGGCACACCGCCTGCAACCTTACAAGGCGAAGGTTCGGCCGCACATGGAATACTGTTCCCATCTCTGGGCTGGGGCTCTCCAGTACCAGCTCCTTCCACTTGACCGCATCCAGCGCAGAGCGGCTCGAATCGTCGACGACCGAGTGTTTTCCGATCGGCTCGATTCACTGGCACTGCGAAGAGATGTTGCATCTCTTTGCATTTTCTTTCGCATATACTATGGAGAGTGCTCTGAGGAATTGTTCGGATTAATCCCAGCCGCCAAATTTCGTGAACGCACTATGCGGCAAACGTCGCGATACCACCCACATCATCTGGATGCTTGGCGGTCCACCACTGTACGTTTCAAGAGGAGTTTTCTTCCGCGTACAACCTCTCTGTAGAATAGTTTACCACCAGCTATTTTTCCGGATCGATACGACCTAGGGACCTTCAAGAAAAGAGCGTACTCCTTTCTAAAGGGCCGGCAACGCACCTGCAATTCCCCTGGTGTTGCGGTTGATCATGGGCGGCGGTAGTCACTTAACATCAGGTGAGCCGCATGCTCGTTTGCATGCTGCGTTTGCCCCCTCTTCTATAATATATATATATATATATATATATATATATATATATATATATATATATATTTGTGTGTGTGTGTGTTCCGTGATCACTCCTACAATTGCGTGCACTACCACTGTCACCACTAAATCTAATACCACTACCTCTTCCACCACAAACTCAAACACCATGACACTATGAAACATACCACCATCAATACCACGACACGTGTTTCGCCTTTGAACGAGGCGTCGTCAGCAGAATTACTGCTATGGCTAACCGCTAACGTTGTATTTATAGTGAAATTTTACACAATATAAATTGATTTAGTAAACTTATAAGTTCAAGTTATAAGGGTAAAATAAATAAGACAGGGAATTCTTTACTTTTGTGTACTGTTCCGTAATATTATATAACACGTTATATAATATTACGGAAGTTTTCCAAATTTATTATTTAAAAAAAATGCATTAGTGACTCACATTCTTTTCTGGAATATTTTTCACTTCACATGGAAGATAAATTACAGACTACGTTAATGCACTAACATCGTAACATCTGCCTGTCTCACGTAATTTGCTTACATATACTCTAAAAAATGAATACGACTCACAACGTCGAAGCTATGGTGTTTACATTCGTAACTGTAAGGTTTTAAATTTGAAGAATGCTGGTTTTGGGTTCAAATCTCATCATCATTACAGCCCTTCACAAGTCCATTGCTGAACATAGGCCTCATCCAAGTAATGCCACAAGGCACGGTCCTGAGCCACCTGTGTCCATCAACTTCCTGCATGTCATGTTACTAGGTCGTCACTTCATCTAGTGGGGGTACACTACGCCTACCGGTACGAGGCTGCCACTCGAGAACCTGTTTTCCCCATCGGTTGTCGGTTCTTCGAGTTACATATGGTTTTTTATTGGGTGGATTACCTAGTTAAATGTTAATGGCAGAATAAACAAGAAAATACCCTGAGTTAGCCCATAAATGTCCCCAGCTGGATTTGGATCTGTTGTTAAGAGAATTTTCCTTAATCGTTACTTTTGGCAAGCGAATTGACTAAAACAGTACAAGACTCTCATCACGAGCAGAAGCGTCTAACGCTGCCTTTCATCACCGAGAATCTTTGATCCTTTCCCTGTCTAATGCATCATATATGAACATTTCGATTGTTTGACAATTGTGTCTATATCGCGGACAGGTAAACTGTAAAGAAGATTTTTCTGATATTTTTCATAGTCACCTCTTACGATTTCTGCGAGACTAAATTGGGTGATATAATGCCGCCGTTACACGGTTATTGGTTGATGTGAAATATTGAATATATGAAGAACCGTGGGGTCCACGTGCGATGAAGTTCCTAAAGAAACTCTATCCGCGACTGGTATTCGCTGCTGGTCATAATTGGGCTGGTTCTTTTCTCGCTCAAAAGCTAAGTAATAATAATGTCCTCCAGACTGAATTTCGGCCACGGTGGCTTGCCTCAACGGAGGCTTGCCATCGGCGCTGGACAGGATTATAGTGCCCAAGTGTATGCGCAAGCACAGGTGCACTCTCTATTCCCCCACTCTCATAATCCAATAAACCGACACGACCGGAGAGAGATCAGGCGCAGGACCAACAGCTTTACGTGCTTTCCGAGACACGGGGATGAGACACCGCGAACTTCATAACTCCGGGCAGCTACTGAAAATTTCTTGACGGAAAAACTCAATAACTGATTTTTTTGTCTCGACCCGGGATTCGAACTCAGGACCTCATGATCAGAAGTCACACTACTAAAACGACTAGACCAACAAGGCAGTCTAAAAAAATAGCTAAGTAACCATTCATCGAGGAAGCATAGCCAGCGTTCTTGACACGATACCATGGTGACTGCATGAAAATTTAAGTTTTAGTTTTTTTATTATAGTTTTTTAATATTGTATATATTTCATTATCATTTTTTATAGGACGGGGTGACAAACGAGCACACAGTCCACCTGATAGTAACTGGTTGCTGTAGCCCATAAACATCTACATCTATCCTTGATTACGAATCAAAATGCGCATGTTGTCACCCGTGAGGACAAAGATGGAATGTCTCGTTTCCAGTAAAAAGGGTCTCCGGTTCTCTACACTCACCATACGAAACACAGCCAGCATTAAGCTAATATTTCACGCTGGTATTCTGTGAGAGCGTGGTCCTTCCCCGGTGGAGCCGACCCACTCGTGCTACAACTATACTACTAATATAACTGCAGCATGGTTCTACCACGTATAAGACGTGACGTTTACGTCACGTCTCGTCATGTAATTAAGTATATTAAGAATAAGAAATCGTATCATATAAAAAGGAAAAATATCCACTAAGATTGAGCTTATAGCTAATTTAAACTTTTACGATTACATTTTACGGTCTTGTTAAAAACCGTAAAATGTAATTGTAACAAACAACAACATTGTAACAACCCCTAAATGTCAAGAATTGATATAACTTTGAAGTTATATGAAACTGCGTGACAGTCTATACCTGCTTCATTCTTCTCTTAATAATGAGAGCTCAGTGCCCAGCTGTGGATTTTAATTGGAGGCTATAGATTGGTGTAGGTCTAATAAACAATAATTACTATTTTCTACTGATACCAACCACTCTGTAGTGTACTATAAAGTGGATGCAAATTTTTAAAGAAGATATTACAGAATCTTGGCCCTAGAATACTTTTAAAATGTCTCTTAAATAAAAATTCATCACGTAGAGATAGAGCTGGACACGTGCGGTCTGATACACGAGTCACAAGAGTCGAGATTTACGCGATTATGGGAAAGCGCGAGCTTACGTTGTTTTTAGGTTAAATTCGTTATTTTGTAATGAATAATGAACTAATAGGCACACACCTCAACAATTACGTAGTACGTAGTTTATTTGCAATTACCTTTATTTTTCATAAACTTTTTTTTAAATTTCTAAACGTGTAGTTTAAGAATATTCACTGCGTCATATCGTCCCGTAGATGTTGTAAGAGGCAACTGAAATAGGAGGTGGCTAGCAGTATCTTCCTGATGACGACTCAAAATTATAAGAAGCTGTGTTTGCCAATCCAAGCTTGACAACTATACCAAAATCCTTCTATGAGGTAATCTATAGGGGAGGCTTATGTTCAGTTGTGAACTTTTATAGGTTGTAATGGATGGATAATGAAACTTTATTTTTAAAAATGTGTAGGTAAATTATGATCTGGAAGAACGGGACTCCTCAACACAACCTCTGTGTTAATTCATAGAATCATGCGTTACTTTGCAGAAATCCATTATAATAAAGATATTAACAGTTACCTTGCAACCATCCGCTCAGTTAAATACAGTGATGGGTCTTACCTAGATTGAAGAGCACTTCCCGCCCTCCCTCAATTACGTGCATCAATCCCGTCACCACCAATCCCAGCACCACTACTCCCAACACCACTAGTCCAGGAATACGTGTCGTATTATCGTCGATGGTGTGTCTTTCCTAGAATAGTGGTGTTGGGAGTAGTGGCGCTGGGATTGGTGGTGACGGGATTGGTGCAGGCAATTGAGGGAGGGCGGGAGGTGCTCTTCAATATGACATCACTGTATTTAATTGAGTGGATGGTTGCAAGGTAGCTGTTAATATCTTTACAACCTCTGCCGGGCTAGCATGGGCAGGGGATAAAAATTTTATCCCCCGATTATATCCACTGACAAGGGATAAAATTGTCTTATCCCTATGCAAAAGCTATATCCACCCTGCTATTATCCCCGCGCATAGATAATATACCATAGTATAATATAAAGCTATAAACTATAAAGACGCGTTCAAGGAAACAAAGCGGAATGCCACGAACAAAACCACAGAGTACTTTACTTTTTATAAACTGGAAGCCACGAAACTGTGACGCTCTCGCAATTAAAAATTCGAAAAGTGGTAAATAATTAACAGAATTTATTGTACTTAGTGTCAAAATTTGCGTATTAACGAGACGCATCTAGTGGTGTAATTTTTTAGCCGCAAAACAATTTTTAGTAATATTCTAAGTGAAAAACCGTTTTTTCTCATATAAGCAAAACAGTAAATCGCTTGCGGCGCTCGATTAGCTATTTTTTTTAGTGATTTTGTGGGCCACCTAGGGACACATCATCCTCCAAAAATTTGGAATTTTTAGATGAAGGACACCTGAGTTATTAGAGGAAAAACGAAAACCATGTGGTTGGTGGTTTCACGAACCAGGAGTCTGCGGCTGGAATTGAAGATGTCACTTGCAGCGTCTCGGAAAGCTCTTTCCGAAAATATATGCATCGTCAGCCGGAAGTGTATATCCTCGGAATAACCACACTTTTGCAACTGGTGTCCCACGTCTTGGAAGTTTGTACTCTAATAACTTTTATTTTTGAGTAACGACCCATCTTAATTTTTTGTATATAGAGGACAAACTCATGCCCTTACTGTGGGTAAAAATTCAAATTTTTTAGGTAAGCAGTTTTTTAATAGTGATTTTTTTTTGTAAAACGTATCCCTTTTCGCCATTCCGTGATAGGTTTGTTTTACGTGTAGTGGGTAGCTAAACTAAGTAAGCACTAGCTCAAAAAAAATAATGAAATTGTCGTTCACTTTAATAGGATTTATATCCATTTTACTTTTTTTTTCTATTATCTTTATTTCCTGCTCAAACTGTTTTATTCTATATCTGTTATAACATCTCTGCACGTTGTTAATTTTACATATTAGATTTATTTTAATTTTGCAGTCTTCTTTCCATGTTACAAACTCTACTTATCCCCGCAATTACTGCCATTATAAGAAAATTACAAAATACATCAAAATTGATGTCTACTCTAAAGTTACAAAGATTTAATTTTAATTGAAAATGATGAAGCATGAAGAATGAAAATGTAATGATTTCAAACAAAACAAGGAATAAATAATTTTATGATCATGAGTATTGTATTATTTGTATTCCTAATATTATGTATATTAGTCTTTAAAATATTTAACAAGCTTTGCTAAAAAATTAACATATTTCGTAATTCAAACCTTTGAATTGTAACTTTACTAAGTTTGATAACTTTATTTTAAAACATTATACTTACCTAAAATATAGTATAGACCGTTTCTATTATCATTAAATATGACTTGACCATGGACTCGCCTTGGGTATTGTTGAAACAACCTATGCAATTAAATCATGGCATTGAGCTATTGAGACTCAATAACTCAATGTTTAAGGGTTGACTACAATCTGAAAGGTTGTGGAATCTTTAACCAGGACGACTATAGTCTCATGGGACCACTTATAAGATTATTGTGGCACACATGCATTACAGTTATTTTTTGGGGAAAGGGGAATATTAGATTAATAGGATAATACTACTATTCTTTATTTAGAAAAAAACATGATTATTAGGGTTTAGGTTTTTTAAAAACTATAAGTTGTTTGCTATTACCAGATGAACAATTTAAATTAGAATTGTAGACCGTCCTTTCCGTGTACTAAACCCCAGTCTGGGATGGTAAGTGAAATATATCAACATGGGTGCAGTCAATAATCCTAAGAATATCTGGCAAACCATGCTCTGCTAGGTATCCTCTAGCTACATTTTGCCTTGCTTGTTATATGCCCGGAAATGACATTCACATCAGTATTAGTCAAAAATAAAATGAAAGAAGTAGATGCACTGACACTTGTATTTACCTACACAAGAGGCTAATTAAAGTATATTGCTCCCCACATTCTAATGATGGCCCCAATAACTGAGGTCAAGTATTTGCTGATTATTTGTTGTTTGAACAACAGCCATGCCATGGTCTTGACTCGTACCTCTCTAGTAGGAAACTACCATCTGCCAAGAGACTGAAAGATGTTAACTACCTACCTAGAAAAAATATTAAGATAAGTCAGCCACATGTATTGATTGCAAATATACGATGTTTTTGGACAAGGTGATTGTTATAGATGCTTACTTCAATATGCACTGGTAGTCGATCCACAGAATTAATAGGCTTTAAAGCCTCATAGAGTTCTTTACACAAATACAAAACAATCTTTGAGCATCCGAAACCGGCGTAGATATTCGTTGTCGGGGAATTCCTATAGATTAAGTATCCTGATCACATATCGATCGCCGATGTAATTTTCTTTCTTGTTTTTAAATTTCTGACACGAAAATGTAGTTGCAATAGGCTCGAGACATCTTTTTTGTATTAAAATAGTTTGAAGATAAACTTAAACCCACGTCCACGAAAGAGGATAAAATTGTCCCTTTCAAATGTCAAAAAGGGATATTTTTTTCTCTTTCCCTTGGCCCCATGCTACGGACGGGGAGATATATGTCCACTCGTTATGTCAAACGGGGATATACTATAGAGATAAGATAATTTTATCTCTTGTCAGTGGATATAATCGGGGGGATATAATTTTTGTCTCCTGCCCATGCTCGCAGGGTGGATAAAACTAAGCAAGGGATAAAAATTTTATCCCTTCCCCGGGAATATATTCTCTCCTGCCCATGCTAGCCCGGCTATGTGTCTTTTAAAATTAAAAGGGTAATTATCAAGTCCTGTAAGATAAGTTAAGATATTATTGTCTTTCTTTTATATAAATTTATTCAGAAAAAAATCTCATTTTAATTATAAGTGACGATTTATCGCATGGTCGATAAATAAATAAGTGCATGTCTAAGAAATAAAACAAAATATATTGAGAAATTGTGTAGTCCGCACTCACACATTGGGTCAGACCGATCGAACCCTGCATAAAAACCTTTTCGGAAAGGAGAGGGGGTCTGGACTCAGCCGTAGCACGTATAAAGGCAAATTTTTACCTTTTTAACAAGTGCTACGGCGATTTTTCCGGACCAATATGACTTAGGGATCTTCAAGAAAAGAGCTTTCTCTAAAAGAGCTCCTTTTAAATGGTTGGCGACGCACCTGCAATTCCTGCGGTTGTTTATGAGCGGCGCGGCGGTAGTCACTTACCATCAGGTGAGCCGCATGCTAGTTTACCCCCTCTCATCTATATATTAAAAAAAATATTTTAAATGTATATTCTAAAACTTTCCTTAAATTGTTAAAGTAGAGATTTGAATACTTCGTAGATATTTTAAATTAAGATTTTAAGATGTTGCTGCGTGTTTCAGGTATCAGTAGTTAACATAACCATCCTAAGATGGTGTTGTGGAAGTATGGCTCCTTTAAGGGAAAAATTGCTGTAACCACCATATTTAGTCAGTGATCGCAGATCCAATTATTATTTTTTGTCGCTGTTTCTCGTCGCCTATTTGGTTATTTCGTTCAAAGTTTTTATTATTATTATCTTATTCTATTATTTACGCCTATGTTTAGCAGTAAACTTGTGAAGGGATGTGATGATGATGATTATGATGAGTTCTTACGACACCCTGAGGAGAAATGGGGTAATAAATTTTTAGTTAGAATACTTGGCTACATTTGTGAAAGTTGGATAAAAACACAAATTGTTGGTTTTCGGATTTAGCAGCATTGTGATCCTTGGATATCGCATACGCAGCATAGTCAGAAAAGTCAGTGCCCTTATATTTGCGTTCCTATTTTACATATCATATGAGTGGTACAAAAACAAAAATATATTTTATTATATTATGAAATTGAGACCCATTTTGAAGGAATGGAATATTGTCTTCTTTTTTATAGAATTCAGTCAACAATGCGGTCAAACACTTCAAAAGCTACGATGTCGTAACATAAAAATGTAATACACGGGAAAACGCTGCGCTGGAGAAGACTTGACAAAAATTATTTGCGTGTCAAGAAACATAAACTTTTTATTTCATGGACTATATTCGTAACCGCTCTCATCGCATAAAAGTTACATTTTACTATACATTGGTAGATAGAGAGAAGTGAATGCGTTTGTTGTGCTGTGCGAGAGACATTTAATAGACTACCATTAATGTGATATAGTTGCATGATAATAAACTACTCATATTTCATTTTACAGGGCGGCGGAGGCAAGAAAGCGTAACCACACATGTCCCCACAAAATGATTCCGGTAAGTTTAAGTGTTTATATTCGTATTCTCATAATCTATTTTACCTTTGAGAAATCGTTAAGTACTTAAACAATGAGTTGCTTGCTTATTGCCAGTTACCCTTTGAAATAACTATGCAAACATCTGCCAAGCGGCAGCTGCTAGAGACTTATTTCCAGGGTAACAACGGAAGCGTTTGTTGAATGCCAAGACTTGACCGTTTTATGCATTTTTTTGGATCTAGACTGCTATAAAAACTACGAAGGCATTGGAACTGTCAGAGTCATTCCCCTAGTGACGATAAGTAGATATCGTAATGATTAGAAATTACCATAATAATTTCTTATGTTTACGCTAATACTACATATTTAAATCAAATTAAGTTTTAGGTGTTTACTAACACACATCTGGTCCTCTCCGAAAAAAAGTTTTTGCCACGGTAGCAACTATGAAGGATGTTGGTGAGAATCACCGTTGAAATAACTGTTAGTATGGGTCTTTTTTCTATACATAAATTAAATCGTCACTCAAAACTCCAAGATACTATATAAGTTCATTATACGTAGATCAAACAAAAAATCTAATAATTTTAAACTGAAGGTAGTCGTGGTTAACTTGACATTGGTACGTCGAACACCTCAGCCGCTCCCGTTACCATGGGTGCTGTAAAGTACTCGAAAGGTCGGGAATTTAAAATAAGTTAATATACGCGATAAAATCCGTAATACATAGTTTCATTTAAATAGAACTAACATTTCAAGTTTATTTTGTTTTGAATAAAGTTTAATCATAACTTATTTAAATAATAACTATAAAATAATAATAGTTACTAAAAATATAATTTAATTGAACAATTAATTGTTCAATTAAATTATCTTCATCATCTTCATCAGCGAGACTACAATTGGACATGAACCTTTCTCACGGAGAGAATCTTGGCTTGCAAATTTACGTTCACAAACTGTTTCTTCCCGTCGCCGGTCTGAGTATTTTACGCCTGTCGTAAACGAGGCGGATAAACCGCCATTTATTGGAAGCCAATAAGATCATTTGGCATATCTAATAGTCTTTTCTAACGACACCCCGGGAGGTAATGAAGTGATATTAAAAGTTAAGCAAACGTAGATTATCATAAATCTATGAAAGTATAAACTGAGATATTATTAGAGCCTAAGAAGAAGTTAAATAAGCTTAGAAGTCGGTTGTTTATACTTTTAATATTTTTTCCTGAATTTATATATGAAAATCAATTGCTGTCCGTTGGTCTCGCTAAATCTCAAATATGGCGACTGATTTTGATGAAATATTTTGTGTGTGTATGAATGAATCCCTGTACAGTTAAGATTCACATTTAGACCCGGTAGGTGGTAATTTTTTTTATAGGATAGGGTGACAAACGAGCACACAGTCCACCTGATGTTAAGTGGTTGCTGCGGCTCATAGACATCTACATCCATCTTCGATTACAAATCAAAATATAGATGCGTTGTCACCCGTGAGGACTAAGATGGAATTTTTATTTTTTTTTTATTTTTTATAGAAGAGGGGGCAAACGAGCATGTGGCTCACCTGATGTTAAGTGACTACCGCCGCCCATGATCAACCGCAACACCAGGGGAATTGCAGGTGCGTTGCCGGCCCTTTAGAAAGGAGTAAGCTCTTTTCTTGAAGGTCCCCAGGTCGTATCGGTCCGGAAAAATCACCGGTGGTAAATTATTCCACAGAGAGGTTGTACGCGGAAGAAAACTCCTTTTGAAACGTACAGTGGTGGACCGCCAAGCATCCAGATGGTGTGGATGGTATCGGGACGTTTGCCGTGTAGTGCGTTCACGAAATTTGGCGGCTGGGATTAATCCGAACAATTCCTCAGAGCACTCCCCGTGATAGATGCGATAAAATACGCAAAGAGATGCAACATCTCTTCGCAGCGCCAGTGAATCGAGCCGATCGGAAAGCACTCGGTCGTCGACGATTCGAGCCGCTCTGCGCTGGATGCGGTCAAGTGGAAGGAGCTGGTACTGGGGAGCCCCAGCCCAGAGATGGGAACAGTATTCCATGAGCGGCCGAACCTGCGCCTTGTAAAGTTGCAAACGGTGTGCCGGTATGAAATACTGTCCCGCTCTGCTAAGCACGCCAAGCTTTTTAGAGGCCAATTTGGCCTTCCCTTCCAAGTGACCACGAAACTGCACGTCACTCGATATGTCGACGCCGAGGATTCCGATACTGGCTGAGGCAACAAGGGGAGTGCCTTGAAACTGAGGGGATACGACAAAGGGGTTCTTTTTAGCGGTTAACGCGCAAACTTGTGTCTTCTGGGGGTTAAACTGGACTAGATTTAGTCGCCCCCAATCCGAGACTCTGTCCAGCAGAGACTCGACTTCAGACACAAGTTTGTCCCGGCACTCAGAGACGTTTTCCTGAGAAATATTGGCTCGGCCGGTGTAAAGAGCATCACCAGTGCTGTCATCCGCATAGCAATGAATGCTACGGGTTTGCAACATATCATTGATATGCAGAAGAAACAGCGTTGGCGATAGCACGCAGCCCTGTGGAACACCAGCATTAATAAGCTTGCAATCGGAGCTTGCACCGTCTACAACGACCTTGATGCTCCGATCTGCAAGAAAACTGGTGATCCAATCGCGCAATTTCTCGGGAAGCCCATAGGAAGGGAGCTTCAAAAGAAGCGCTTTGTGCCAAACCCGATCGAAGGCCTTCGCAATGTCCAAACTAACGGCCAATGCCTCCCCCTTGGACTAAATTGCCTCCGCCCATCTGTGAGTTAGGTAGACCAGAAGATCACCAGCTGACCTACCACGGCGAAAACCGTATTGGCGGCCACTAATCAGCTGGTGATCCTCAAGGTACCTCATGAGCTGGCAGTTTACAATGGACTCCATTGTTTTGGAGAACAAGGAGGTGATGGCGATAGGCCGGTAGTTGGACGGGTCTGAGCGGTCGCCTTTTTTAGGGATCGGGTGGACGAAAGCCGTCTTCCATGATTTTGGGACTACGCCTAGGGAGTAGGAGTACCGGAAAAGACGCGTTAAAACCGGTGCCAACTCTGGAGCACATGTCCTCAGCACAATGGGGGGGATTCCATCAGGCCCACTCGACTTATGGATGTCCAGGGAGAGGAGTGCTTTGCGAACCGAGCGCTGAGTGAACTGCAATTCCGGCATGGAGCACTCACACCGCGGGATGGTCGGCGGCGTACTCCCCCCGTCATTGAGAGTCGAGTTAGACGCAAAGAAAGAGCCTAGAAGATCGGCTTTCTCCTTTGCGGTGTGGGCCAGTGAGTCGTCCTCCCTGTGCAGAGATGGAAGAGATGGCTGACAGAAATTCCCCTGGACATCCTTGGCGAGAGACCAGAATGCACGGGTTCCAGAAGGAAGACGAACTAGTCTCTCGTCAATTCTGCCTATGTGCTCTGACTTTGCCTTGGCAATGACTCTTTTGAAGGACCTAGAGGCGGAATTATACTTCTTTTTTAGAGCGCTGGTGTTTACATCCCTGGACGCTGATGCGTCAGCCCAGGCTCGGTAGCACTCCTGCTTATAGCATGATGCTATTTTACAGGAGCGACCAAACCATGGCTGAGATTTGCCTCCAATGGGCACCACAGAGGAAGGAATAAAAAGTTCCATACCCTGAAGTACCACATCAGCGACAGAATCCGCAACAACGTTGGGATCATCCGGCGAGAAGCAAACCCGCCCCCAAGGGTAGGATGCAAAGAAAGACCGCATCCCATCCCAATCAGCTGACCTATAGTGCCAAACACGGCGGCAGCCTGCAGAATGCAACCGCGATTTCAGCGTGAGTGGCACCACACTCCGGACAAGACAATGGTCCGAGGAGCCTAAAGGGGCGTCGACGGAAATCTGATATCCGTCCGGGTGAGAGGTCAGCAGAAGGTCCAACAGGGAAGGTGCATGATCCTCGACATCTGGAATCCGCGTAGGCGAAGTAACCAGTTGTGTCAGACCATATGCCAAGGCAAAATCATGAACAGATCTCCCCGCATGATGGGTTAAACGTGAACCGAGCCATTCGGCGTGATGGGCGTTAAAGTCGCCGAGGATCACGATCTCTGCGGAGGGGATCTGCTGTAGCAACGAATCCGCAGCCATTTGGACGTGGTCGAAGAGTCGGTCTGTTTCGGCATTACCGCTATGGGACCTATAGAGGCACCCGTAGACGCGCGGATGGTCGTCGCTGTCTACGCGTAGCCAAAGGATGGACAGGTCCGAACCTTCAAGTCTGCCGAGGCGTCGAGAACAGATGTCCTCTCTGACGTAAACGCAAACTCCAGCCCGGGGCACAAAGGAGTGTTCCAGTTTGTACCCCGGACAGGAGAGATACGAGACATCAGCCGGAGAGGACACCTGCGTCTCGGTCAGAAAGAGCAGAGCCGGCCTCGCCGTCTCGAGATGGTAGTGGACGGCGTTTAGGTTAGAGTGAAGTCCCCTGATATTGCAGAAATTCACGGACAGCGTGGCAGGGGTCGCCTTGGTCTTGTTGCTCCGTTTGCCCCGAGCAGTTTTAGTCTTGAGCGGAATATTGCCCCCCCCCCCCCGAAAACGGGGGCAGCCTGAGCACCCACGCTCAGAAGTGGAGAAACATGGTCGTGGATGCTCAGCGAGGGATTCTCCAGGGGTGCTGGTACCCTCCTGGGGTAGTCTATCATTTAATTCCGCTACCATGTTGATGGGGGGGGAATTGGGCCTCCGGCCACCTGCACTCACCAGACGAAACGCGGAAGCAGAGCTTCCACTTCACGCCGGTATTCTGTGAGGTCGTGGTACCACCCCGGTTTGAGCCGGCCCATACGTGCGACAGCAAAGCTGCCGCGTGGCTCTACCACTGTTAAAAATGCCTCGTTTCCAGTAAAAAGGGTCTCCGGTTCCCTACACTCACCATACGAAATACAGCAGCATTAAGCTACTATTTCACGCTGGTATTCAGTGAATGCGTGGTCCTTCCCCGGTCGACTGTGGTGTTTTCTGGGTCTCGATAAG